TTTTTTTTTTTTTCAGAACCCCTTAAAGTTGCAATCTTGCTTGGGTTGCTTACTTTATTTGGCCTTTGGTTGGCTCTTAGTATAGCCGGTAGTTGTCTCGTGGGTCGTGGATATGGTTTTTTCACTCCTTGGGTTTCTTCTTTTGAGGCCTTCAGACTCGAAGATGCATTGGGACAATTCCACCATTGCATTGTGGTAATTTAGTTTTTCTCTGTATTTATTCTGTAAATGCAAATGTCTTTGCATTTGGTTTAATTATACTATATAATGAAGCATGATTTGTTTTTATATAAATGAATTCGGAATTTTGTCTCTAAGTGTGTTGTGATATACGATTTTGCTCATTGTTTTTTTTAATCATGGCATGTGAACATTTTAGGATGGTACATGGGGCACTATTAAGGGTAGTTGTACCGTGGTTCGTGATTTTGCCGACTTGTGCTATAATTCTTATCAACTCTATTTAAAGGAGCTGCGTGAAAACACTACCTCTAATGAGCTTCAACCTCTTAGGTATGCACTTTACTATCTATGTCTTCATGAGTTTAGGCTAAGAATTACTATAATTTCAAAATATTATGATGTTCAGTTCGTTTTCTTGGAAATTGAAATATTTAGCCCGATTTAATGGGAACTCTTTGCCAGATTTATTCACGTGCCTGCATGCATTATTGTTGGCCTATTCGGCCTGATTGTTGAGATCCCACTTTACACGGCCATTGCCATAGTAAAAAGCCCATACATGTTCAAAGGCCGGCATAGGCTATTGCACGATCTGATCAGTCGTGAGGGTCCATTTTTGGAAACTGCCTGCATTCTCATTGCTGGTTTGACGATTCTTATGTGACCGCTCATCGTTATTGGAAGCATCTTGATGGCTATATTTACGAGCTTTTTCATAGGATTATATGGATCTATAATAGTATATCAGGTCACAAACAAAACCATACCTCTTGTTGATTTTTTTTGTCATTAGTCTGCACGAAAAAACATATAGTTTCTTTTTTTTCACTATTTATGATTTTCAGTTGTCCATTGAGCTATTTTCTTTACTTCTTGTGACCAATTATTTTCGTAAAAATTGTTCTAAGATATGTAAGGAGAGCTTGAACACTTCTTATTACTTTCCTATTAGAAAAAAAAAATAAAATAAAATAAATGGACCCAACACCATTTCTGTCTTTATTTTGATGCAAGAAAGGTCCTTCAGACGAGGTGTAGCCTATGTGATTGCAATTATGGCATAATTTGACGAGCACACAAATGATTGGCTTTATCTTCGTGAGGGCCCGATCCTATCGAAGTAACTGACGTTTTTTATCTGCTTTTTCTCAAAATTTCATTTCGTAGTATTTTTTTTCCATCTTCCATCACACTAATGAAGTCATTTTTCGGGCACGCCCCGTTATAGGAAAAAAGACCGTCCAACTCGTCTGAACTTACTCTTCCTCTAAACCAATCCGTACACGAGAGATTAGGCTATGCCACTATATAAAGTCAAGGAAAAATTGTTCATCGCCTAACGACATCAAGGTCCACCAGGGAGGTTATGAAGGAGGTGAAAATAGTGCAAGTGCGTACGACTTTCATATGCGTTATATATATATCATCATATTTGAATTTTTATCTTTACATATATTATATACTGCTTTAGATATGGGGAAGCATGATGAAGGCATGCGAAGTAAGAGGAAAAGCTGCTGGACAAGAATGTAATTAGCCGACCTCTGTGATTGGTTGAAAGCAAAGCACTCGAGCGGCCCGCACGTTATCGACGTGGGGCTTTCATGTTACTCTTTTCTGCACGTGCTTCTTGATTCCATCAAACTGGGGTCCACCGGCTTAGTCCTACTTAATGGAACAGAGGTGAACCACCTGAACCGGCCCCAAGACAAGCTCATGGACTGGTTCTTTAACCCGGTTTTGATCCTAAAGGAACAGGTTAGGGCCTTACGGCTGGAGGAAGGTTAGATTCGGTACCTTCAGAAAATGTTGCTCTTTGAGAATGACAAGGAACGTGCTAAAGCTTGGGAAAACGAGAATTTTGCAATCGAGGATGCTCTCAGAGCAGCTCAGATTTGAAGGATTAGTCGAAGGTGAGAGCATTTGTGTGATAAAAAACCGAAAATATTTATTTATTGTATTTTGTTATATATTATATATGCATTTATTTTTTTTGTTTTAGGATGATGGGGATGAATAGAAGCGTATCAAAGTTTTCGACTCATAGAAGGCATTACCAGCAGGTCGTAAAGGACTTGATAGCTTATTCTAAGGGAAAAGATGGTTCGTCAAGATCCATCAATTATTCGGCACCAAAAGAAGGATCACAAAGATCGGTAAATTCTTCATTTGCTGTGAAAGAAGGCTCGACGAGATCAGTATCCATGAAATCGACTGCCTCTGTGGATATCGTTTAAGCGAGAGGTTTAGTATTTTTTTCATTTTTTTCTTTGTTTATTTTTTATTTTACATTTAGTCAAAATGGTAGAGATATATGAACTCCTCACAGTTCTTACAGTAAGGTTAAATTTGGCTTGGAAATGCCTGGACACCAACTGTTATATTGTTTTGCTTTGTACATATGTTAGGACTTTGAGCATGGATTTGTAAACTTTCTATCATTAAAGTTGAATACACAAACAAATATATAATATGTTGAGAGGTTCTTGTAAGCTTTCTATCGTCAAAGTTGAATGTAAGTTTTGTTTTAGATATATATTTTTATATTCCTTGTAAGTCTAAAAATGATGGATATTTTTGCACAACTGTCATCTTAAACAAAGTTAATAGGTTAAATAATTAAAAAATAAAAAATATAATATTTTTTTATTTAATTTTTTGAAACTAACACTTGACTGTACAATTCAAGATTATCATAATACCGACCATCATCCCCACCATCAAATATACTATCTTTACCCCAATCAACATGGTTGGAAAAATCACTTTCAACATCTCGACAAGCGGAAGTTGTACTGTATTATTATCAAAACCAATATTTGGGTTGCTCTACCAATGTAAGTTCGCAAGAGATGGAACAGTAACACCATATGGATGAAACGGTTGACCTTGAGCAGCAATTAACTTAAAAAATCCTAAGCGTATCAAAGTTCCGACTCATAGAAGGCCTTACCGGCAGGTCGTAAAGGACTTGGTAGCTTATTCTAAGGGAAAAGATGGTTCGTCAAGATCCATCAATTATTCGGCACCAAAAGAAGGATCACAAAGATCGGTAAATTCTTCATTTGCTGCGAAAGAAGGCTCGACAAGATCAGTATCCATGAAATTGATTGCCTCTGTGGATATCGTTTAAGCGAGAGGTTTAGTATTTTTCTCATTTTTTTTCTTTGTTTATTTTTTATTTTACATTTAGTCAAAATGGTAGAGATATATGAACTCCTCACAGTTCTTACAGTAAGGTTAAATTTGCCTTGGAAATGCCTGGACACGAACTGTTATATTGTTTTGCTTTGTACATATGTTAGGACTTTGAGCATGGATTTGTAAACTTTCTATCATTAAAGTTGAATATACAGACAAATATATAATATGTTGAGAGGTTTTTGTAAGCTTTCTATCGTCAAAGTTGAATGTAACTTTTGTTTTAGATATATATTTTTATATTCCTTGTAAGTCTAAAAATGATGGATATTTTTGCACAAGTGTCATCTTAAACAAAATTAATAGGTTAAATTATAATTAAAAAATAAAAAATATAATATTTTTTTATTTGATTTTTTGAAACTAACACTTGACTATACAATTCAAGATTATCATAATACCGACCATCATCCCCACCATCAAATATACTATCTTTACCCCAATCAACATGGTTGGAAAAATCACTTTCAACATCTCGACAAGCGGAATGTTGCACTGTATTATTAT